CTAATTCATCAACACAGTTCTATTGTCATGCCTCTTAGTAAATTGGATATTTCAAGAGTCTAAATAAACTAAAAGTTATTTCCTGTCACTTGGTTATTAGTACGTGGCTTTCAACTGCTTCTTTTTTAAGAAATAAAATCTTTTCCTGGATAGATTCAAGGGGACATGGTGCAAACTTAAATCTAAGTTTGAGTAATGCTGTCAGTTGAATCATAGCCTATAGGAGTTACAAGAGCTCATAAAAAGATGAACAAGAATCATTTCCATTTTCTCAAGAGAATTGTCCCAGAAAATCATTTAACACAATATTATTGTTGTTGTTTTCTTTCAACTACCATATTATCCACAAAGTTTGCTTGATGATAGCATGCAAAAAGTTAGTAGCAGATGAGGTTAGAAAGCACTCCTAACCCTAACCTGTTGAACCTGAATTCGACATATGTGTAGCCATTTTATTTAGCTCTTTATTATACTCATTTATTCCTTTTTTCTTTCTCTTGACTATGTAAAGGGGGGTTTTCGGGCTCGCCACATTCTTAAGATGGGGGAAGGAGCGAATAAATAGTGAGGATTGTTCTGTCTAGGTGATCTTCTTTCCCGTGGGAACAGGAGCTGCTCCTGCTGAGAATGGAAGGTGGAGTTTGAAGACAGAGGGCAATGTGGATTGAGTGTTTATTGGAGAATGTGACTTTTCAGCGAGTAATAACTTTTTAAGTTTTTTATTTTCCCTTTCAAGTTCATTCACAAATATACACTTATAATTACTATTAACATTTATCTATTCATCATTAATCTTTATCATTACTTTCTTACAAATATATAGCATAGAGTTTGGGTCACTTTCTTTCCACCTCATGCCTCCTCTTATTTTGCAACAACCTTGCTCCTTCTATTTTCTCAACCTCCCTTCTCTGCCTTCTTCTCTCCTCCTCTCCTTCCTCCCTTCTTCTTCCCTTCTCTTTCCCCCCTCTCCTCTCTTCTTCTCCTTCTTACTCTCTCTCCTACTCTTAATTCCCCTTTCTTACTTCCTCTGCTTTACTCTTTCTAACTTACAATATTATGTGATGTAATTCCGGTTTGTGTCAGATCCGGAATTACAACAGACTTTGCCACTTTGATGTCTACTTAAATAAAACAAATTTGTTTCAGAGATGGACTTTGCATGGGTTTCTTCGAGTGGTGGATTTCAAAAAAATTTGGAACCTCTTCTGTAGGTGTGGCCTACATTCCGGGTCCACTGGTGGAACCTCTTCTAACCGGTTTGGTAGATTTGANCTCTCCAAGCCAGATAAGGTCTGTGATTGTAAATCCTCCCTTGAAAGACTTTGCTGGATGTGAATGAGCGGAATTCACAGTAACCTAATAAAAGGGGTTTTTTTTGTCGGGTCAAGTAGTCTGCTTCGTGGTTTGGGGAAGCCTCGGTCAGAACAAATTGCAGCCATCAAATTTCATCATAAAATCCCAAGAAATGAAACAATTCCATTAAGAAGGTGTAATGTGACTGCATGCAAGAATGAGTCATCTGTTCATCTATCCATTCCCATGCAACAGTAAAAATTAAAATACTTGCCCGCTCCCGAAAACTGGAGTTCTCCGACAGGTTGCGCAATTGTGCTGTTACAGCCCCAATAACTTTGGTGTTTCCTTCCACCAGAAGCAAACTCAAAGCTTTCAGTCCGTCCTTGCGTAGCCGGCTTTCGGGAACTCGCTTCAGCGCCTTCAAGACCACATCTTGGTCATCAGAATTCAGGTTCTGTGCTAGCAGCACTGCGGGCCAATTAAAGGACAAGTGCTGGTATTAACAGTACGATTCAAGCTGAATCTTGCCCAAAGCAAGTGATAATATTCCAACCGGGGAAATCTCAAACCCAATCGCATTGCTTTCCTTTGGCTGGTTTTTAAGATGGTCCACGTTGAAAAAATCACACTTTTGAGATCACACCCGAGACCAATTTATGGCACTTAATTCATGGCAGCTATTCACACAAGCAAATTTGTTTGCCACCATACCCTTAACTGGTGTCCAAGCATATTTGGGGATTCTTGTATCCCAAGAGAACTATCTGTGGTAGCGCCACCATATTTTAGGAGGATCCAATCTTAAGGCTTATGAGCTTCTCAACTTCTAGAATTCCCCACCCGCCTGTAGTCCACAAGTCTTAAAAGTTGCCAAGATTGGACACCGTTAAAATATTCATGACTGGGACAGACATGGGAACAAGGTCAGCCAATGAATAAGCATAGCAACTAAGTCAGCCAATGGGAGCTTAAACAGATCTGAGTCTGCGCAGAGAATTGAAACAGAAACTTAAGCAGTCTGCTGCTCTGAGAAGTAAACTAGCAGTCTATCTGGGCTTGTCTGCTAATGTGAAACTAACTGCTTGTGTTTGCCTGCAATTCTCCTGCCTGGTGTTTACTTGGAAGAAACACCTGTTGGTGTTATAC